GAAGGCAGGTCGAGGCAGGCGTGTGCAGCACAGGAGGTCGGGGATGGTTGTGGGCAGATGGCATGGGAGAGTTGTGGACGGGCAGCGCAACACGGGAGGGTAGGACAGGCAGGAACGGAAAGTGGGGGAACGCGGATGGATAAGTAAGAGAGGGCGGGCGGGTGCGAGAGAGAGAGGAGGGGGAGGTGGGAGAGGGGGAGAGGGAGGGAGGGAGATTGGGATAGGAAAGCAGGCGGGCATGGAAGGTTGGAACGGTTCCTCACTTGTTCTCGCCCGCGTGTCATCACTCCTAGTGACCTCCCCCTTCCCCTGTCCGTCCACGTCCCCTCCCCCACTCTCCACTTCTGCCTGTACCCACCCTCTTTGTCTGTTCCACCTACCCCCATCCACCCTCGTACCTGTCCTCCTCACTCCCATCAGTCCACCCCCGCAAATGTCCACGTCTGTCCTACCTGTCTGCGCCTGCTCACACCCACCTCTGTCCTTCTGCACCCGTCAGACTACCTACAGATGTCTGCTGTTCCCCTGCTAGCCATCCATCCTTCCCTCACTCGTCTGTCTCCACTAGTGTTAGCTTTGCTGTCCATGAAACTACTTTATTCAAACAACCGCTAGAAGGAGGAAAGGACCGCTTGGAGGTTCCTATAGTGGTCATTCTTATGGTAAAAGAGCGAAGTATTAGGACTCTGAGCCATAATCCTTCGCCATTCTACCAGGGCAAGCCCATCGAAGGAGCTCGACTGGTCGGACGGTGACCATACTCCGCGGAGAACAGAAGGAAAGCAGAAAGAAGGAGAAAAAGATAAGAAGGAAGGAAGGAAAGAAAGAAAAAAGAAAAGAAAACCAAGAAACTACAACAAAGTAGCCTCACAAGCAAGGTCAGTATGGGTAGAACTTTAAACTCGGGAAGGACTCCAACCTGTAGCTTTGTTAGGTACGAGATTGGGTCCCGTCTGAGCTCGAAGTTTTTCCCACTACTCGCCATACTTGCGTAGATTTCACAATGCACCCTGGCATCCTGACAAAAAAACTACTCAGTACGAAAAACACCCTGATCGGAGCGGAGACTCATAAGAAAAGTGAAAAAAGGATTAGTTTCCTTCTACACTACCTTACCCGTACCCCTCCTAACCTTCTCCAATATTGGTGGACAAAGAAAAGAACGAAGAAAAGCCGATGAATCCAAAATATGAACTGATCAGAAAATCAAAAAAATAAAAGAGTGAAAAGTAAAAACGAGTAGACATTGTACCAACGAGGTAGAGGAGCATGAATAAAAAATGACAGAGATGACTCAGAGAAGAACAAAAGAATGTAGAAAGAAAGGCGAAAAGAATCAGAGGAGCCAAGAAAACATAAGAGGATAGGCTCCGATCAGGAATAGTTTTTCGTTTCATGATTTTTATACAATGATGGTGATTTATGTTCAAAAACACAAACTTTGACGNTTGTTTTTATGTTCTCGGTTTGTCTATGAGTTCGAAGGTAACCTATAGTTGAACAAAGTACATTAAGACTATAAGTTACCTTCGGAGTCATAGTCGAACCGAGACCATAAAAAGAACATAAGAAATTCGAAACCATAGAAAACTATGAAAATTGATAGTAAAGGAAAGAAAGGTGACAAGGTGTTGGAACGCTATGAACATGCGTCAAAAATGACTATGGAATCATGAATCAGAGAGATAATTAAGAGGTAGAAAATATCACAGAATTGTATGAGTCAACTGTGAATCCTACAGTGATCATGATGGGAAGGAGAGCCCGACGTTCGAATTTCCCCAAGCGGTCACATTAACTCCTCGTCCACGCTGAGCCTGAGGTTGGATATGAGACCACTGTACTATTCCCATTGGTTGATGGGAGATAACACACCAACCAGTGGGTAGGGCACAGTGAAACGACTCCTTCCACACGCCCACCGAGAACACTAGTGTTATGGACAGCAATGCTTAGAACACCCTAATGAAGACAAACAGAAGAACGGAGGAGTGGACGCACCAGGATAGTCAAGCAGTCATAGAGGTAGACAAGACGGGCACAGACGGACAGGTATGGGCGTACACAGAACGCAGACAGGCAGGTAGACAGACAGACCTGGACACTAGCAGATAGATGGACAGAGGGAAGCAGTCGGACAAATACGTAAGAGTGGACGCGGACAGGCAGGACACAGACGGCAGGCACAGACACAAGCGGACACATGGGGAAATGGACGGACGCATGCATAGAGGGAAGGACACGGACTGACGCGGACAAACACCTACAAGGACGTCGCATGCAAAGACAAGGACAAACACGTAACACAGACAGACAAGGACTAAACTCACCTTCGTTGGCCGCTCCATTCCGTCCTTTAGAAGAAGCTCCCTCTCAATCGACGTGGACCACAGTCGCCCATGTGGATCTGAAACAGTCGAAATGAATCATTGAAAAGCAGGTGAAGAAAGCTGTTCAGCACCTGTGGTCCTTTACGCGACATGGTTGGTGTGGATCGCCAGCTATTNCCTTCGGAGTCATAGTCGAACCGAGACCATAAAAAGAAATTCGAAACCATAGAAAACTATGAAAATTGATAGCAAAGGAAAGAAAGGTGACAAGGTATTGGAACGCTAAGAACATGCGTCAAAAATGACTATGGAATCATGAATCAG